GATGTGTGCACACCCATGTTTATTGCTGTTATTCACAATAGCAAAGAGATGGAAACAATCCAAATAACCAACAGCAAATGAATGGATAGAAAAACTGTGGTACATTCTCACAATGGAATATTAGGCAGCACTAAAAAACAACTCATAAAGCATTACACAACATGAGGGAGCATGGAGAACATTATGTCGAGTGAAATATCTGAGTTCCGAAAGGACAAATGCTATTTAACACTGTTATAAAATACAACAGCTGGGGTGTAGTGGGCAGAGAATGGGAGAAGAGTGCATAGATAATGAACACTATAGTAGAATAGATGAGAGGATGAACTGTCTGAAAGGAATTTATAATTAGATAGTATATGTTTGACAACAATCTGGAACAAGGAATGCATTGCTGTGTGGGCTGAGGGAGGGGAAGGAGGGAAGAATTTACAACAAAAAGAAATAGAAATTACAAATATTTTTAAAAATCAGTAACTGGAGGGGAAGGAAAGTGTGCAACAGTGAATGAAAATCCAATTTTTTTGTAAACTTTCATTAAAATTACAATAAAATGAAGTTTAGAAAACAATGGTAAAATAAAGCAAAAATAAATAGTATGCCAGTTGTCTAATTTTAGACCTGATGAAAGATATTTCATTTACCTACGACCTTAAAAAATAATAAACCTCTAGTAGTAAGAAGCCCGCAGCTGCTCCGGGGAGAAGGATGGGCAGTCTCCTCCCGTGCAGTTAACACCTCTGAAAACCTGCTGGAGGGTCAGCTGTGGGTCACCCCCAACTCAGTGTGAGCAACAGCAATGGCAAGAAACTTTACTACAATCCTGAAGGCACATGGTTCGAGGCCATGAGCTGTTCTGCGGGGAAAAGATGGGCAGTCTCCTCCTGTGTGATTAGCTGCCTCTGAAAATGCACTGGAGGGTCAGCTATGGGTCGCTTCTGACTCAACAGTACACAACAAACATAAAGCAAGATTCATGAGGCAAGCCTTATTTTGAGTGCCTTGTCTCAATACATGAGAGACGTGATTATCTTGTATCTCACTTTTTTGTGCTAGGAAACCATTAAACATCTCCTTTTTAAAACAAAACAGTTACTTAAGTTTCTCTTACTGGGCCCAAACTCACTCTGATTTTTTTCCTCCAAAATTATCTCAAGCTATCTGATCTTTACTTGAGAATGCTGTTTATTTTCGAAGTTAGGGTATCCAGCTTTGTTGCAGATATATTTACCACATTTCTTTTAAAAAGACAAGCAAAAAGAACTGCCATATTCAGACTAATCTTTTTCATGCACTCAACCTTTGGTTTGTAAACTTGGACTATATCCTAGATAGAAGAGTAGGTGAGGGTACCCCAGCCCTCCTCTTCCTTTTGAAGAATCTTAAGTTTTTCCTCAATAAAGTATATATTGCATGAACAACTCCTAACTACCGAAAGTTTTCTGCCTTATCGTGACCCTCTAGGACAGAATTGCCCCATAGAGTGTCTGGGGTAATAATAATAATCTCTAAGACTGCGGACTGCCACGTCTTTCTCCTGGGGAAGCTGTTGGATTCACAACTCTGACCCTTCAGTGAGGAGCCTAGCAATTAACCACTGTGCCACAAGGTCTCCTTTCTAAGATATTAGTACATCATCATGCACGCTCCTGCTTCATTCTAGAGATGCTAGCTTGGCCTCTGTTTTAAAATAGACTTCGATTGACATTTATGAATGACCTCTGTGAAAGATGACTGTCCTCGAGCAGTGGACAGACCAGGAGAGATGTATGACTCTGAAGAGTAATGGTTGTGGTGTATGAAGTATATAATTTGCTTTTGTAAAATGTTAGGCACAATCTAATTAGTAAACACCACTCTCCTTGGTGTTTTAACCAACGCTCTTCATATCAGCAATCAGGAAATCAGGAGACATATTACATTAGGCAAATCCACTGTCGAGGAACTCTTCAAAACGCTGACGAGCAGTGATGTCAGTTTGAAGACTAAGGTGCTCCTGATAGTCTTCTCAGTCACCTGCTATGCATTAGAGAGTTGGACAATGAATAAGGGTAAGACAGAAAAAGTATTTATGCCTTTGAGTTATGATATTGAAGAAGAGTTTTGAGTAGCCCACAGAATGCCAAGGAACAAACAGATGTGTCTTGAAAAGAGTGCAGCCAGAAAGACGCTTGGAGGCAAAAATGGCGATGCTTCATCTTCCATACTTAGGACCTTCCATACTTTGGGCGAGGCTGTTCCTTGGAAAGGGACATCATCCTTGGAAAGATGAAAGGTCAGAACAGGAAATAAAGACCTCCAATGAGGAGATTGACGTGGCGACTTTGTGTTACATGGGCTCTAATGTGTCAGATGATGAGAACGACACAGGATTGGGCTGGGTTTAGGTGGGCTGTTATAGAGTTGCTATGAGTTGTACTTGTTAAGTTGTACTTAACCAACTCTCTTTGAGGATCAAACCAGGGAGAAAGAGAAAACTGGGAAACTTCAATTCTAAAAGTCTCAATTTTCTCTAAAAGGAGAAATCAGTGAGGAACATGAAACCAGGTTGGACATGATGAGTAAGGTGCAAATGTGAGTGCTTTCTTAAGAGAGCCCTCAGGGCACTGCAGTAATAACCTGGAAGGTCCTGGCAGGAAGGGGTGAGGGTGAGAAAAACTCTCCTTTTAAAGTATAATTATGTCTGGAGCAGGTTTTTATTTTCACTGTGCCTTGAAAAAGTGGCAGACTTACTGAAGAGATTTTACTTCAGGACTGTGGTTGTTGGCTTAAGTGGAGATGGTGAATGGGACAGTCTCATCCTGAGGGGCCCAAAGAATGGATGTAGATGGTGCCGTTGGGTTTTGAGTGAATTGGTTAGAAGCTCCTGCATTTGGAGATCCCTCTGCTGCTGGGTTGGTTCCTCCCCTGTTTTTTTCAGCCAACAGTTATTTATTGTATAGCTGCTGTGATCCAAGCCTGTAATTCCAGGCCTGATGGTGGTTCAGTGAGGAATGAAACATGTCCCTCCTCTTAAAGAGGATGATGAGACCAGACACATACTGATGGACAAGGACCCTTTGTCACTGCCAGTTGTTCACTGGCCTTATGCTTAGTGCTGGGTCTGCTAGTTCTTCCCCCCTTCTTCCTTTTTAAACTAAAGACAAACAAACAAAAAAATAATACAACACACACACACAAAATAAAACAAAAAGCACAGGAAACTGTCTGGTGGAGACAATTTGCTTTTTGCAACTTTTAAAAAATTACTAAATTTTATTAATTTTAATGAACATTTACAGAGATTTTGGGTTTTCATTCATTCATTGACTATTTCATTCATTCATTCACTATTTTCTCTACCCTCCTCCCCAGTTCGTTCTTCTTCCCCCCCGCCTTGAAAGTCTGTTTTAATTGTCCAATTGCCACAGTGCTTGTCAAAGCCAGTTCTGATTAATCTCCTTTGTCAGTGTGTCCTTTGCCATTCCCTATCACTCCTCCCTGACAGAGACTTCACCCTGATTCATAAGGAAAAGGGAACAGCATATTCTCTTAGCTACTTCCTGCTGAAAAGGGACGCTGTAGGTTTCAGGGTGAAGATCTCTCACTACTCTAAAGGGCCCCTTTGGCAATAGGAAACACATAGACTATTATGGAGATTGATTTTGGAATTCTTTTTGCAACTCTTAAAGGCGTGGCTGTGTGTTTCTGATTTAGGAAAGGGCATTGGTTTCCAGAGCTACTCTAGTGTGACTTCATGCCGCAGTGCATTCAGTAAAGTTAAGGCCTCTATTCCCCACCCCCTTCAAACATACCTTTCACAAGCCTTACAGTAAATAACTGAGGCTTGTTTGGAGTGTGTGGAGCATCATTGTAATTAAATTGGCTGAATAGTATGTGTTGCTGCTTCTATGTAGGAACCTCTAATGGCTTAGTGGATAAGGAGTTGTGCTGCTGAGGAGAGGCGGGTGGTTTGAATCTCCCAGCTGCCCTGAGGGAGAAGGGCGGACAGTCTCTTCCCATGCAGCCTCTGAAACCTCTGGAGGGTCAGCCATGAGGCAGCTCTGATTTGACAGAAATGAGAGAGACCTCTCTAAACAGAAGCCGTTAGTAAGAATGCACTGTGGACATAATGAGCCTTTAGTATGATCTCTTTGAAAATGGAAAAACCAAATAGAACCAAGTAATATAAAATTAAATTTTTTAAATAGGAAAGGGACAAGTACCTACTACCTGTATCTGCTTTTCTTGAAAAGTTGTAAGCAGAGCCCATTTCGGCACGTTTGCCCTCTGTCTGGCAAGCTGTCCATGTGCTGGTTTAGTCTAGGACAGAGTAAGGTTTGCATCTCAGTAGAGCGATGGGTCTGGCACCTTCCTTTCTCTCTGGACCTTTACTGAGCACAGCCAAGAAATGGGAGTCATAGGAGAGGTCAGTATGGTTCTTTCAACCTGTAATTAATTACATGTCTCTGAGTGTAGGAACTGAAAGTTCTTCCATGTTAGGAGATTAAAGGGAAATTTATACAATTTTGCAGACTGTAAAGTTTAAATCCTGCTGTTTGCTAGCCATGTGATATTAAACAGGACAATCTCTGTGTCCTCAGAAATCAATAGGTTATGAAAAGGAAAAGTAATATAAAATGCATTTGCGTGCAGTAAAGCACTTTGAATCTGCCTGGCAAATAGTGAGAACTCAAATGTTTACTCTTCCAGAGCTATGAAAGGGAAACCTCCTAACTTCTTCCCTGAATGGTTTCCTCAAAAGATCCCTAATGTTCTCCCTGCAAAGGAAACAGATTCTTGTGGAGACAGACCCTGTCCTTTGGAAGTGCTCGCATCCTGTGCCATTTTCCCCCACCTTCTATCAGGAATGTGAAAAGACCCACTGTGTTCGGAGACTTGACATATAGCTAATATGCAAATATCCCCTTGGAAGGAAGGTGGCAGTAAGAAGCCCAGCTTTCTTGAACATAAAGGGGAAAAACTTAAAAACTGAAGTTTGCTAAATGTGTGTTTTGCAGGTTGGACAATCTGCTCAATATGGCTTATGGAGTAAAGAGGTAATGATAGAGGTCCATGATCCTCATAAATCCTCATAATCCCCTTCCCACAATGGATTCGTTTCTTTGGTTTTTTTGGGAGTGATACGTAACACCCCTCATAAGTTTGCATTGGGTTTTCTTTTGCATGTTGAACCTAATGAAAAATTTCCTTTTTTTGAAGCACGGTTGACCCAAGGAACATTCCTTATGCCACTGGATGCCACCTGGTCTTTTGAAAATTCCATTATTTGTTTCATATGCATTGCGACGTTCTAGCATGTTCCCTATGTGTTGGTTCCCCTCCCCAATCCTGCTTTCTTCATGAAGCCAGTTCTAAATCTATTCCTTTGCTATTGTGGATAATATAATTCAAAACATATTGGCCATTTCGTGAGATTAATATCTTGACAGTATGGCATGTTCACTGGAAGCCACTTAGAGACCTAAGGCTAAACATCAGATACATATGTTACATGTGTTGGGGGAGAGAGATTGCCACAAGATAAGAGATGGAGAAGGGAAAAGAAGTCTTGCTATAATCAACCTCTGTTTTTATTTTGTGTGTGTGTGTTTGTTTCCTATTTTGTTTAGTAGGTTTTCTCCAATGACCATTGACGGAATGACCAGTTTGGCTGGAATTAATATCCCTGGGCACCCAGGAACGGGGTGGTGTATTTTTGTATACAACCTGGCTCCTGATGCAGATGAGAGTATCCTGTGGCAAATGTTTGGGCCTTTTGGAGCTGTCACCAACGTGAAGGTCATCCGTGACTTTAACACCAATAAATGCAAAGGTTTTGGATTTGTGACTATGACAAACTATGACGAGGCTGCCATGGCGATAGCTAGCCTCAATGGATACCGTCTGGGAGACAGAGTACTGCAGGTCTCCTTTAAGACAAACAAAACGCACAAAGCTTAATGAGCTCTTGTCCTCAGTCCATTTATATATGAAAACTATACAACAAAGGCAAGTTAAGAGAAACTTTATACATTAGTAAATGTCTTTGTAAGTCAGTGTTGAGATGGGGATAAAATGACTACTTAGCATCCTAAGAAATATGTGAGATTTTTTATTGCTAGTATTTGAATTAAAACTTCTTAAATATCTTTTATGTTTGAATATGGACAAGAGGTACAGGGTTTTTACCTGTCACATTGCATTCTATTGCCTTCTTTGAAGAAGGTGGACCTTTTAAAGTGTTTCAGCTAAGGGAAGACATTTCTTTCTTTTTTTCCTTTCCTTTTCTTTCCTTTCCTTTTCTTTTTTTAACATAATTGCCTTGAACCTGTGAGTAAATATTGAGGCTTTGTGTTGTAACTCTTCAGTTGGTTGTCTTTTTTCCCCCCCTTATTCCTTTACTTTTCTGATTAGCTTTTGTGTTTGGTTTACATTTGAAGCATTGCCGTTATGTCTGTTTAAGAAAAGTATTTTGAAGTTTACATTTTTATTTATAAAGTTAAAAACAGTATTTATTTTATAATTATGATTTGGGTTGGGGAAGGGGGGGGCTACATTATAAACGCTTATTGTAAGAATACTGGAGAACTTTTCGTAAAGCAGTACCTTGCCAAAGAGATAAGAGCCTCTTTGATGTGGGTTTAAAAAAAGCATCTATTTTTATAAAAAAGAAAATTTGGAGAAACTTTTTACTGGTCCTGGAACAAATATTTTGACTTGAATACTTTGAGAAATCTCTTCATATGACACCTAGTGAGCTTTTAAAATTTACCAGGAAATTTGCAGCGGTTGGAAAATTTAGAAAGATTTATGATGTAGAAAATACTTTTGAGATCTTTGTATGAAAGAAGTAGAATCAATGGGAGAAACACTGCTGGTTTCATTTTTGTAATCACCAGTGGAGCGTCTGATCATCCTGGTTGTTCTGCGATAGGTGGCTCACATTGATTTGTGATTTTGAAACAAATAAAAAAATTTACAAAAGAATATATAAGAGCAAGCAAGAAATTTAAATTACCAAGAGATGGGGGAAAAAAAAAATCTGTTCTTCCTAAAGAAATCCCTTCAGATAGAGCTCATGGTGTTTAGTGATGTACTTGCAGTATTGTTTGAAGAATTGTTTTGTCTTAAGGAAAAAAATAAAGATGTTGCACATGATTTGTACTGCAGCAAATCGGCAAAAGTGATCTGAGTTGGATATATTTGAAGGTATTTTGAAAGTTACGTTCAAGGCTAACACCTGAGCTTTGTGTAATGTAAATAAGACCTTGTGTTTATGAACCTTTCAGCTAATTTGAATTTTTTTTCCCCTTACATGCCAAGTGATGTTCAGGTTTTGAATGTTTTTGTATCAGTTTTTTCCTTTGTAAATGGCATTATCATTGTTACTTGAGGTCTTGCTTAATCACTTTTGTTGTCCTGAGGACTTGAATTTACAGTGCATCAGATTTGTTGCTAATTTTGTCTGTAGATAGTCTAGCTTCAGCTGTTTATGGTGATGCTACATTTTCGTTTATAAATATGTTTGTGGTAAAAAAAATGAGTATAACCATAGGTTTTGAACAAATTTCCTTACATTTTTCATACAAAAAAAAATCATAAATATCTGTATGCTACTGAAATTTAACTTTGTATGATGCTTAAACCACTATTTGGGGAAATAATAAAATAAGTCTTTACCATGTATGAAAGAAATTTTAAAAAATACAAAATATTTTCTGATTAGCATCTAGCTTATAATAAATTTTCAAAAAAGCTGAAGGCAGAAGAGCCTTCATCAGGATGCACTGAGAACTATCTAGTTAACGTCCTGCTTTTTGTATAAACTGAGATGCTCACATGCTTCCCCTTAGAACAGGCAATGTGCTATGCATAACATAGTTGTACATTATCTTTGCGGTTGCTTTGAGTTCTATTTTTTATTATTTAAAATTGTAGTTATAAAATTTTTCCGTATAGTACAGTACATATACTGTGAGGCGCGTGCTAAAGTGAATAAGCGAGTTTTCATGCTGACCCACTCAATGCTACTCGGAAATTAATTGGCTTAGCACTTTCTCATATCCTTAGGTGCATTTAGATTGTCAAGAGTTAACCTTCCGCGTTTAAAAAAAAAGAAAAAGAAAAAAAAAACTAAAAAATAAAATACATGTATATACTTTAAAAAAGACAAAAAAACTAAGGTTTCCCTCTTGGGAAAACAGCAGCTACGTGCTTCTTTCCTATACTACTGTAGCAAACCAAGGCATTGATGAGAGGGCATGCAAATTGTGCTTCACTTGACAGTGTTTATCAGAGCACTTAATAAAATGTAAGGCTGGTATTTATTTGAAGTTGTACAGTATGACTTAATTCACATCTGTTGGAATAGAAAATATATTCTGTTGAGTATTTAAGAGGCTGTACATGTTTTCTTTTGTGTTTGGATTCTTTGTACTTTTCCATGTTCAGTACATCAATAAACAAAAGTTGAAGGGAAAGACCAGTGTGGCGAGTAGGTCTTTGTACACATTGTGGGGGATCCTGTGCTCTATCTAATGGACAGACTTGCTCCTTTGAGTTGAAGAAGGTTCTCTCAGGGCCTGAGTGGAAAGCAGTGTAATCTGAATCCAGGGCTCCCAATGGCAAGTTAGTTGAGGTAGAATGTACTCCCCACGCCCTTCCTAAAAATGTCTGAATGACACCGTCTGATTAATAGGTTTCCAGATATTGCTCAGTGAATAACCATTACGATAACATGTACTCTCTCATCTCTTGGCAGTCCAGTTTGGGAAATTGGATGCTGATATGGGTCCCTAGCTCTGATACAACCTTCAGCACTTCACAAAAATGGGAGTTGACATCACACTTTAATTTGAACTAAAGAAAAACCAAATAGAAGGAACTTACTCTGCTTCCACTTGCAAGAGCTCATTTTCTCATGGGATCCAGTGTTGGGATCTCAATTTTTTTTTTCTTTACTCAAGTGTCATATTGTTATGGGATGCTTCTCAAAATCTGAAACACTGTTTTCTTGCAGGTAGGGTTGGTTTGTTAATTGGCACATGAGTACAAGGCCTGAGCTGTGGCAGCCCACTGTTTTCCAGGTATGCTCCGTGCTCTTGAGAGAAAGATGGGCATGCTCCTCTGGCGTAATTTACTGCCTCTGAAAACCCTCTGCAGGGTCCACTTCCACTTGACGGTACATGGTAACATGCTCTCTTCTGGAAAGAGTCTACTGCTGCAAAATTACAAAGTTGTAATACAGTACTGAGCAACTTTATACAGTAATTTTTATTCTTTTTTTACAAAACATACCAGATCATTTATTTTAATTTGCTTGTATTTATTGGCTTTTTAAAAAATAAAAGGTATTTTTTAAAAACATTGTCCTGAATTCACAATGTAGTAGTTGAGAATAAACCTGAGTGACAAGACCTTTTCTTGTTTTCCAGCAGTGGAATTGCTAGAAACTCTTTCTGCCTCTTTTTATCAGGGGAATTCAATATTGTCACTTTGTGATGTGCTAACACCTTCTTACCTCATTGCTCTTGTGTTAGCGGGGTTTTGATGGGCTTGCATCTCAGCACCTCATATTTGAGCTGATAATGGGAAAATTCTCAGTAAAAAAGTTTTTAAAACTACACTTACATTCGAGAAGAAATTTTTTCCCCCTCATCAGTGAATTAAGGAAGTTCTGGTGGCTTAGTAGATTGGATCCACTAGCTACTCTGAGAGGGAAGAGATAGGATTTCAGAGCTTCTGAAAAGCCACTGGAGGATCAGCTACCGAGTAGGTTTCTACTCCCCAGCGATGAGAGTGAGAGTGATCACCCAGAGCTTCCAAATTTTCTGAAAAATTACAATCCAGCATTAGTGCCCACCCTAACTTCTTAATCTGGTTGGAGGCAAAGTGTTAGCAATTTGTAACTTTCCACTCTATTAAATAAACATAAGATCCTTACCCTTGTAAAAGGATCAAAATAAAATTATAGTGGGAACTTGTAATTTATGGCTTATATTACCTAGAAATAAGAAAATGCATGTGTTTTAAAAATAAATGTCCACATTTTCACATGCCGATTCCTTAGAATGTTTTTCTAGGACAATATGCATATAATTTTTTATTAGTTGGAGAAAAGGGTGGTTTTTATTTTTATGCTTCTATTACCATATCAGAACTTTGTACAGTAGGAGAAAATAGAAGAGCTGTTAAAATTATAACAATTTTTTATTGGTTAAAGAGCATTTATAGCTTCACTTATTATAGGGAACAGCCTCTATTTCGTTAGTTAACATTCTCTATATTCTTTTTCTGAAGAATTCTTTAAAGTGCCTTCGCTTCCCTTTAGCTTAGAATGACTAAACCCTGACACCGTTAATGTAGGCAGGCATCTTGTTGGCTTAGGGTGAACTTTTATCAAACTCAACCTTTCTGGTGTTCTGATTACAGAAATACACAGGGGATGGTGTTGTAGAGCAACACAGGTTTATTGCATATTTATTGTGAGGGAGGTGGCCTAGTCCAGAGGGTCTCTTCCAAAGGCTACACCTCTCTGGATGTTCAAATCCACTGGCTCTGGGAGAAATAACATGGATAGTTTCTTCTCATGCGATAAAACAGCAATGAGTTCTACACTGACTGGAGTGCTGGTTAAAGTGCCCTACTGCTGACTAAAATATTAGCCATTAAAAACCACCGATAGCTCTGCAGAAGAAAGATGTGACTAGCTGTTCTACTTGATCTCGGGTTCCATAGTCGTTTGGCTTGGGTGTACCGTGCCGGCCCCTGGACCTGTGAAATGAGCATGAGTTATAACCATCCACAGGAAGGGAGGCAGACACACCAAAGCCATTGCCGTTATTACCAGAGTCCAGAAGAAGGTGTCATGCTAACTTGAGTTTTTATATACCTGGTTATACCTCACAGAAGTGAACATGAGCTGGCCGTCAAGAGTCGTCTTTTCCTTTCTTGAGTTTGTAGCTGATTGGTGTCATTTCCAACTGCCTCAGTTTAGGGAGCCCATTCAGGTTGGTCTCACATTTTTTTCTGAATTGAAGCAAGAACAGTAAAACATTTTAACTGAATAGTTGCACTGATTAAGCAATTTGATTGAACTGTGCTTGCTCATTCTATATATGGAGAGACAGTTTGCAAAGTGAAGATATACCTAATGCTCAAACTTTGTCGATTGCCTTTATCCTACTTTAGGTTAAGACACATTAA